TAAAGGGCATCCAAATTGGTAAGGAAGAAGTAAAAGTATCCCTGTTTGCAGATGATATGATCTTATACACAGAAAACCCCAAAGAATCCACAAGAAGACTACTGGAACTAATAGAAGATTTCAGCAAAGTATCAGGATACAAGATAAACATAAAAAAATCAGTTGGAGTCCTCTACACCAACAAATAGAAATTCAAAGAGGAAATCACTAAATCACTACCATTTACAATAGCCCCCAAGAAGATAAAATACTTAGGAATAAATCTAACCAGACGTGTAAAAGATCTATACTAAGAAAACTACAAGACACTATGCAAGAAACCAAAAGAGACCTACATAGGTGGAAACACATACCTTGCTCATGGATAGGAAGACTCAACATTGTGAAAAAGTCAGTACTACCCAAAGTGATCTACTGATACAATGCAATCCCAGTCTAACTTCCAATGGCATTTTTTAATGAGATGGAGGAACAAATCACCAACTTCATATGGAAAGGGAAGAGGCCCCGGATAAATAAAGCATTACTGAAGAAGAATAACAAAGTGGGAGGGCTCAGATTACCTGATTTTAGAACCTATTATACTGCCACGGTAGTCCAAACAGCCTGGTACTGATACAACAACAGATACATAGATCAATGGAACAGAATTGAGAATCCAGATATAAATTTATCCACCTGTGAGCAGTTGATATTTGAGAAAGGCCCAACGTCCATTCAATGGGGAAAAGACAATCTTTTTCCAAATGGTGCTGGCAAAACTGGATATCCATCTGCAAAAAAATGAAACAAGACTCATACTTCACACCATGCACAAAAACTAACTCAAAATGGATCAAAGACCTAAATATAAAATCTAAAACGATGAAGATCATAGAAGAAAAAATAGGAACAATGCTAGGAGCCCTGATACATGGCATAAACAGAATACAAACCATATCTAATAATGCACAAACACCAGAAGAGAAACTAGATAACTGGGAGTTTCTAAAAATCAAACTCTTACGCTCATCAAAAGACTTCACCAGAAGAGTAAAAAAGACAACCTACAGACTAGTAAAAAAATTTTGGCTCCGACATATCCAGTAAGAGTTTAATCTCTAAAATCTACAAGATACTGCAACACCTCAACAAAAAAAGGATGAATAATCCAATTAAAAAATGAGCAAAGGCTATCAATAGACACTTCACCAAAGAAGACATTCAGGTGGCTAACAGATACATGAGGAAATGCTCACGATCATCAGCCATTAGAGAAATGCAAATCAAAAGTACAATGAGATACCATCTCACCCCAACAAGGCTAGCACTAATCCAAAAAACACAAAATAATAAATGTTGGAGAGGTTGTGGAGAGACTAGGACACTTACGTACTGCTGGTGGGAATGTAAAATGGTACAACCACTTTGGAAATCGATTTGGTGCTTCCTTAAAAAGCTAGAAATAGAAGTACCATATGATCCAGCAATCCCACACCTAGGAATATACCTGAAAGAAATAAGAGCCATCACACGAATAGACATATGCACACCCATGTTCATTGCAGCACTTTTCACAATAGCAAAAATATGGAAACAACCTAGGTCCCCATCAGGAGATGAATGGATAAACAAATTATGGTATATCCACACAGTGGAATACTACGCAACGATAGAGAGCAGTGATGAATCTGCGAAACCTCTCACAACATGGATGAGTCTGGAAGACATTATGCTGAGTGAAATCAGTCAGTTGCAAAAGGACAAATAGTGTGAGACCACTATTATAAGAATTCAAGAAAAAGTTGAATCACAGAAGAAAACATTCTTTGATGGTTACAAGGGTGGGGAGGGAGGGAGAGGGGAATTCACTAACTAGATAGTAGACAGGAATCATCTTAGGTGAAGGGAAGGACAACATACAATACAGGTTTAAGTCAGCACCGCTGGACTAAACCAAAAGCTAAGAAGTTTCCTGAACACAACCAAAGACTTCGAGGGACAGAGTAGCAGGAGCTGGGGTCTGGGGACCATGGTTTCGGGGGACATCTAGGTCAATTGGCATAACAAAGTTTATTAAGAAAATGTTCTGCATCCCACTTTGGTTAGTGGCATCTGGGGTATTACAAGCTTGTGAGCTGGCATCTAAGATCCATCAATTAGTCCCAACCCACCTGGAGCAAAGGAGAATGAAGAACACCAAAGACACAAGGAAAATATTAGCCCAAGAGACAAAAGGGCCACATAAACCGGAGATTGCATCAGCCTGACACCAGAAAAACTAGATGGTGCTTGGCTACCACCAATGACCACCACGACAGGGAACACAACAGAGAGTCCCTGATGGAGCATGAGAAAAGTGTGGAGCAGAACTTAAATTCTAGGAAAAAGATCAGACTTAATGGTCTGACTGAGACTGGAGGAACCCCTGATGCCATGGCCGCTAGACACTCTGTTAACCCAGAACTAAAACCATTCCTGAAGCCCAGTCTTCAAACAAAGATTAGATTGGGCTATAAAACATAAAATAATACTTGTGAAGAGTGTGCTTCCTAGTTCCAGGAGATACATGAGACGAACTGGGTGCCTTCTGTCTGGAGGCAGGATGAGAGGGCAAGAAGGGACAGGACCTGGTTGGAGGGACACAGGAAATTCAGGGTGGAGAGGGGGAGTGTGCTGTCACATTATACGGATTGCAGCTAGTGTCACATAACAATATGTGTATAAATTTTTGTATGAGAAATTAACTTGAGCTGTAAACTTTCACCTACAGTGCAATTAAAAAAAAAAGCTTAATGCTCAAGGCAGATATTTTTTACTAATTAAGCTAAACTATTGTTCGGTTTTAAGAAGACTTCAGGGGATATTTTTGGTTTAAGGTGTAAAGATTATCTAAAGACAGTGGTTTCAGAGATTCATCCACTCTTCATGACTCCAGAGAGTCTGGAGTCCATGACAATTTGAAATTCTGTTCTGCACGTTCCCCATTTTGATCAGGATTCTTCTATAGAATCTTTGATTAAAATGTTCAGTATTGGTAGCGGGGCACCATCTAGTTCTTCTGGTCTTATGTCAATGGAGTCAGTTGTTCATGGATGCAATTAGCCACACATTGCATATCCTTCTCCTATTCCTGACTCTGCTTCTTCCTGTGTTGCTCCAGGCGAATAGAAGCCAATTGTTGTGACTTGCATGTCACAGCCCTTTTTTTAAAGAACCATTTCTAACCCTCATGTTATTAATCAATGTCTAATACAAATTTTCTTTCTCTGCTGGAATGTGAATTTTGTTTCCTCAGGACTTTATTTCTGAGCAGTTAATGATTCTAGCAGAGACCACTAAAGGAAGGTCCATTGCATGATCCCGTTGGGTGTTTGCTAGGTACTCAGGAAGCAGGTTGTCCACCAAGGACTAGAATACTAAAGAGAAATTGTCTTTCTTACTGTACTAGCCTAATCCTGCACCTGTACATTGTTAGGGATTTGTTTCCCTCAAATGTCATTGATGTCCTCTTGATTTATTGTTCTTTGGTACAAAATACATTCCAGATCAGTGGTTTTTATTCTTCTTCAATTTGCAGTACAGTTTTACTGGTTTGTTAGTAACACAGAGTTTGTGTTTGTTAGTTGTATTTGGTCAGACTGTAAGGCTATTTGTCCAGATGTAGACTGGTGAGTGTTTTTTTTTTTTTTTTAGTCTTTTTTGTTAAGTAAAGCTTTCTCATTTATTCTTTTCCAGATTGCAACAAGATTATGGCAGAGCACAGCCAAATGCCAAAGCGGCTGGATTTACAAAATGATAGCTTAGAGGAAGGTTTTGAAGCAAATTCCCTTGAGAGCAATCCCATAAACGTGATGGAGAGCCTAAGCCAGAAGAAATACTCTTCCAGCCTGAGATTTAAGGCCAACAGAGACTACTCTGGCTCCTACTTAACCCTCTCACAACCTGTGCCTGCTAAGAGAAGCCCTTCTCCTTTGGGAACCAGTGGCAGAAGTAGCTCCTCCTTGACCAAAATCCAGGGAAGCAAGCAGTTCTTTTGTGATGGCACTGACAAAAGTATTTCCGTGAAGCCTCCCACTTCTTTGGTTGGCACCTCACCCTCTCTCAGTGGCTGTCCCCTTGGCAGAGTAGACTTTGATCATTATACTGGCCGGGACAGTGAAAGGTCCTTGAGGGTCTCAGAGAAGCCTCCCTACTCCAAATATAGCTCAAGGAATAAATCCCATGACAATGTCTACTTTCTAGGAGGACTGGAAGGTCGAAAGGCATCTGGCTCCCTCCTGGCCATGTGGAATGGAAATTCCCTGACTGATACAAGTCCCTCTCCTGTCAGCAGATCAGGAGCGGCAAGCATGCCTTCAAGCCCAAAGCAAGCCAGGAGAATGAATGTTCAGGACAACCTGGTACTTCATCCTATGTTAACTAGACACAAGGAGCTAACATCTGAAAACATCAGTTTGAGAACCAGGAAGTGTTCGGGCAGCAGCCTGAGTCACATGGGAGCCTATAGCCGATCACTTCCCAGGTTGTACAGAGCCACAGAGAATCAGCCGATGCCTCTCAGTTTGCCTCCAAGGAACTCTCTGGGCAATTCTAAACGCACAAAACAGGGAGAAAAGGATCTACCTCATAGCATAATAGACAATGACAATTACCTTAATTTTTCTTCTTTAAGCTCAGGGGCTTTACCCTATAAAACCTCTGCATCCGAAGGCAGTCCTTATGTAAGCTCCACCCTCAGCGTCCCTGCCAGTCCCCGCATAGCTCGGAAGATGCTCCTCGCCTCCACATCCTCCTGCGCCTCTGATGACTTGGATCGGGCTCCAAACTCAGGGACAAGCCCGAATCACTCATTTCTTTCCGGAGAGCCGGACAGAGTGTTTGCAGCCAGGAGGAACTACTCTTGTGGATCTGTAGAGTTTGATGATGCTGATTTGGACAGCCTCAGACAGGCCTCAGGAACCCCTCAGCCTGTTCTTCGGGAGCGGAAAAGCAGCATTAGCTCCATTTCAGGACGCGAGGACCTGATGGATTATCACCGGCGGCAGAGGGAGGAAAGGCTCAGGGAGCAGGAGATGGAGCGATTGGTAATCTTCATCTGATCAGCCTTGAAAGCATATATACGAGGGGATGTAGAGTTTCCAAGTGCTGCAACATTGCTGTTTTTAGTCCCTTCTTAGATTTTCTCCTGCTATCCTTCCTCTTTCCAGATCACAACTATTGGTTGTCGGTAGCTATTTTGTTAAGAAGCCCTGGTGGTGCGGTGGTTAAACCCTCGGCTGCTAACAGAATGGTCGGCAGTTTGAGCACACCAGCAGCTCTGTGGGAGAAAGATACGGCAGTCTGCTTCCATAAAGATTGAAGCCTTGGAAACCCTATGGGGCAGTTCCACTCTGTCCTATAGGGTCTCTGCGTGTCAGAATCGACTGGACGGCAATGAGTTTGTGTTTATAGGTATTTTGAAGACCTGTATGGAGCCCTGGTGGCATAGTGGTTAAGAGCTCAGCTGCTAACCAAAAGTCCGGCAGTTCGAATCCACCAGCTGCTCCTTGGCAGTTCTGCTCTGTCCTGTAGGGTTGCTAATATGAGTCAAAATCAACTCCATGGCAACAGGTTTGAGGGTTTTTTTGTTGTTGTTGTTTATATGTGCCTAATATTATATTTAGTTGTTCTACAGCTAAATAACTTAGAATTCTTGTAAATTCTTGAAAAAACTCAACAAAGGTAGTTGTGAATTTTACTGATTTCTTTCAAATCTTAGTTTTCCTTTAAGCAATTTGTGTTATTTATATCATCATATTTGCATGTGTGTGGCTATGATAGAAGAAGACAGTGAAATCATGATTCATCAGGAATTAGGCAGTGCATTTTTTGTAGGATAAGTTGTCTAGGAAGTTAAAGGATAGTCTCAGTGGTCCTCAGCCTTTTCTCTGTGCTGTTCATGGGTGTGCAGTTGTGTGCATGCGCTTGCACACACGCACCATACGTACTCCCTTCAGCCGTGTCTCTTACTACGTAAAGTGACTCCCAACTATACATACTCACCCAAGTTATTGGGTTGTTTTTTTCTGTTTAAAATTATTTATGCTTATTGTGGAAAATATTGAAAATAATTAGAAAGGGTAAAACATCCCTTGAAAGTCCAGTGAATGAGAACACACCACTGCATTTTTCCTTTCCTTTTTCTTGTAAGCATAGCTTTTGTCGGTTTGTTTGTTTAAATTTTAGAATGAATACATGTCAGAGATTTATTTGACTCGTTCTTGAGGGAACCAATAGGATAATAAAGCTAGTTCAAAAAAGTATAAGGGAAACAAATATTTTCATTATTAAAAGAAAGTTGAAATAAGATTTCTGGGTCACACACAAAACTAATTAATGACCTACAGTAGGGCAATAACATTGTAACTTTTGAATTATAATGGACAGAAACCATTTGCGTTTATACAGGACAAAATTGGAAATTTTATAACAACAATAATTTGCATCACTTTCAGTTTTCTTATTATCCTTACAGAATTTTGAAATTTCCTAATCAGTAATAGTGAGTGAAAGCAAATAAACATACATACCCTTAGAGAATTAGATAATCCTTGGGTGGGTCTATTAGACAGTGCTCTCATTTGACAACCCCCCTTGTTTTTATAAATAATTTCCAAAGATTATTCATGGAAACAAAAAAGTGGGTTATTGTATTTGGCCGTGATTCATTGACATAAGTTCAGAAGAAGTTTTGATGAGTATATTAAAGCCTTCTTGTATATGGATAGAAAATCAAGAGCCATACTGTGCTGAGCAATTATTATTATTTTTTTTCCCCCATACAAAAATTTATACATACATTGTTATGTGACTCTAATTGCTCTCCCCATACTGTAACAGCACATACCTCCTTTCCACCCTTGATTCCCCATGTCTGTTCAGCCAGCTCCTAAACCTCTCTGCCTTCCCATCTCACCTCCGGACAGAAGCTGCTCGTTTAGTCTCTTGTATCTACTTGAGCTAAGAGGCACACTGCTCACAAGTATCACTTTATGTCCCACAGTCCGGTCCAATCCCTGTCTGAAGAGTTGGCCTCAGAAATTGTTTTAGTTCTGGGCTGGTAGAGAATCCAGGGGCCATGCTTTCCGGGGTTCCTCCAGACTCAGTCAGACCATTAAGTCTGGTCTTCTTACTAGGATTTAAGATTTGCACCCTGCCTTTCTCCTGCTCTATCAGGGACTCTCTGTTGTGTTCCCTGTCAGGGCGGTCATTGGTGGTAGCCGGGCACCATCTTGTTCTTCTGGTCTCAGGCTGATGAAGTCTCTGGTTTATGAGGCCTGTTCTTTGTCTTAGGCTAATACTTTCCTTGTATCTTTGGTGTTCTTCATTCTCCTTTACTTCAGGTGGTTGGGACCAATTGATGCATCTT